TGTAACTGTTTTTATTTTGTAAACCACCCGGATTGGGCAACCATTGGGTGGTATATAAATAAGTATTATTATTATTATTATTATTATTATTATTATTATTATTATTATTATTATTATTATAGAATCACAGAGTTGGAAAAGGCCACAAGGGCCATGCGCTTCCAACCCCCTGCCATGTAGAAACTCACAATCAAAGCACTCCCAACAGATGGCCATCCAGCCTCTATGTAAAAATTGCCTCCAAAGAAGGAGACTGCAGCACTCTCAAACACCTCTTACTCTCAGGAAGTTCCTCCAAATGTTGAGGTGGAATCTCTTTTCCTGTAGCTTGCATCTGTTGTTCTGGGTCCTGTTCTCTGGAGCAGCAGAAAACAAGTTTTCTCCATCCTCAGTATGACATCCCTTCAAATACTTAAACAGGGCTCTCTTATCACCTCTTAACTTTTCCTTCTCCAGACTAAACATACCCAGTTCCCTAAGTTTCTCCTCATAGGGCTTCATGGTTTCCAGACCCTTCACCATTTTGGTGGCTAATAAAATTCCCCTATTGAATATTAATTGTGAGTGCCCTCCCAAGACCCTTGCAGTAATATAAGTACGGTTGGATGTTTTGCAAGTAATTCTTATTGCTCTTAGTGTTCTTCCATTGTGCTGTTATTTGGGATATTTCAAAAGAGCTACCCAAGGTGCTCAACATTATCCCTCTACCGTGGCTTAGCACTCTGGATTGCTCTTAAAGTTCAATCTAATACTCACAGTGGAATCACTGCCTTACTGACATGGATGTCACCAGCCTCTCCACACCTGAGTGCAGGTGATGGGCGAAAGTCTCTGTTAAACTATCTCTCTCTTGTCTTCTCCTTCCCATCCTTAGACATTATTAAGCCCCTGGGCACCATCCCTACCCTCCCAGGAGGTGATGCCAGCTGGGCGAAAATTGCCACCACTGTCTCCAAACCTTTTCGGGTCTTTCATGGGGTGAGAATTGGCAACCTCCAGGTGACAGACATCGAATCCAAGCAGACTCTCTTCATGGCAGGTAATCCTTTGTTTTTGTGCATTTCTGCCTTCCCCTTTGTTCTACAGGACCCAACCGTAAGAACAGGAGGTGGCCAAGGATCAAGAGGTCAATACGCTCCCATTTAAAGCCATAAATGGGTTGAGACCGTGATCCTCTCCATATAGGTGCCTGCCTAAGGCTTGAGGTCTGCTGGAGGAACACTCCTCTCTAAGGTCATCAACTTTAATGTTAATAAATATTAACTGGGTGAGGATGGGCGAACCTTCTCAGCTGTGGCACCTCAGTTGTAGAATGCCCTTCCCTTGGAAGCACCGAATTAGATTGTCAGGTGTCTCTTTTTATAACAAGTAGCCCTTATCTGAGATCTGGAAATTACTGAGATCTTGCCCCTTATAGGGTTGCCAGGTGTCCGTTATTATAAGTGACGTTCCTTATTTGAAGGCCAGGAAGCTTGTCCCTTATAGGGATGACAGGTGTCCTTTATAATGAGGGATGTCCCTTATTTGAGCGCAGGAAGGCTTGTCTCTTGTAAGACTGGCAGATGTTGCTTATTATAAGGGATGTGCCTTATTTGAAGGCCAGAAAGTTTGTCCCTTATCAGGCGATCACGTTCCTATCCCAGCAAGACGCTTTGTCTGGGTGGGAGTCCTTGGTTATTGAGGAGGAAGGGAGTGCCAGCCTCCACAATGCAAGAACAAGATGGAGTTGTGCTTGTGCATCTCCCTAACAAGAGTCAGCATGTGGCATAGTAGTTTGAGTGTTGGGTTAGGGCACTTTGGAGCCCAGGGTTGGAATCCCTGTTCAGCCATAGAAACCCATTGGGTGACGCTGGGCAAGTTGTACTCTCTGCATCCGAGGAAGGCAAAGTCAAACCCCCTCTGAACAAATCTTGCCATGCGCACCCTGTGACAAGTTTACCTTAGGGCCACCATGAGTCAGATATGATTCAAAGGCATACAACAATAATACCATCACTGACAGGTTGCCAGCCAATGTGTGCACTATTGTGCAATTTTGTATTGCTCAGCAGTTGATTAGGTTACAGCTGCTGGGCCTTGAGTGCCTCTGGCCCTTCCTGTACATGCCCTTGTGTTCCTGGGGGGACTGGGTGGCCCTTGAGATCTCTCCTGGCTCTATGATTCTATGAAATGTACACCTTCCTTCCTCCCTCCCTCCCTCC